GAACATTCAGTGTTAAGGTATACTTGAATTGAAATGTTTAACTCTGTTTACATGCCATGTGTTCCTCTCATGGAGTTTTACTTTTTTACTAAGTTATTTCACTTGTCCAATGGGGTGGTGTATTGACTCATCGTGTTTTTCAGCTGAGCTTCCATGACTGAAATGCTTTATATTTTAGTTTTAACTTGTTAAGGAAAGTTTGATAAGGGTCTCTTTTGTTAAGAGTATCTTCAAAAATGTTTGATACAATGTCAGTATCTACTAAATACACAAAAACAGACCAGATTTTGTCTTTTCAATGAAAAGCGAATAGAGACTTAATCTTGCAAACACGTGAGTTTGTTCGCTTCTAAAGTTGTGAGGATTCCTATTGTTTTCCAGTACTTCACAGGAGCTATAATTGAAATAGTCCTAGAGATGATATGCAGAAATACAGACTTATCAGAAAGCATTTTCAGCTGCGTGAACGGCCCTGCCACCACAAGAAGAGTTGTATTGAAACCTACATCTATGACAGAAGTGACTGAGTGGAACTGGAGGAAAAAAATGCACCTCCTTTTCTCCTCTTCCATTTTCTGTGCTCTTGCTTCTTTGTCAGAGGTCAGGTATATAAAAGGAGCTGGATCAGGGTGTCAGTGCTAAGAAGTGGTGTGAGAGCCGCTTGACTTCCTGCCTTATGAGACAGGGTTACATCCGAGACATTCGTAACTCCAAGCTGCTTGGACTGATTTTAACATTCTTAGCATGGTTCTCTGCGCAATGGCTCTCTTGGATAAAAGGTCCATCTAATCCAATATCTGTTCTCCAACAGAGGGCAACATCAGACCTCTAGTAAAGAGAAATGTCTAGTGTTGGTTTTTGGCTCTTTATGTGGAGAGAGAACTCGGGTCAGGATCCAGAATACTTAGGTGTGGAGCTATATACAGGCATTGAGTAGCAACATATAATCTTTCTTATGTATGTTCTGGGAATCAGAACTTTTGAACAATTGTTGCTTATGTAGGAGTAAAATTCATTAACTTGCCTTGAGCGAAAGGCTGCTGCTCTGAAAATATATTTTAGTGCCTAAAGAATTGCCACTAACTTAAGGGCAAAAAAGAGCACATTTGTTTTTACATGCTTTGAAGTATAACAAGTTGCCAATCCTTATTTCCAGGAGCACAAAGAAAGTCCTCTTATTCCTTGGTGTGCAGCCTGTAGACCCTCTTTTGCTCTCAGCCAAGCTCTTTAAATCAAGGTGAAGTCTGTAGCTGTTGTAGTGAATCACTGTATGTGATTTCAAGTATTGAACAACGGGAAGGAAGCTGTTCCTGGTCTTCTGAAGTGAGACTTAATATGAATGGGGTTTCATGATATGACTGAAGCTTCATTAGAGAATGCAAAGGCATTGGACTGCCAAATTGTACTAGCATTTGCTGAGGGGGAGTTTAGTTGCTAATGACACTGGGCAGCAGATGGCCTTAGGAGAGTTGTTAAGACACTGTGGATTGTACTGTAAATATGTGGGTGAATGGAACCAGGATGCTGACAGTTCACTCTCACAGCTCATCATGAGAAGGTGACTCGAGTGGAATTCAGTATTGCCAGAACATTAATTTCTTGGTATTTGGCAGTCTGCTATATATCTGGGAAGAAATTTGCAATATAACAGCGGGATGGTAGTCAGGAGGCACTTAATTGTGTGAAGTTGCGAACCAAGAACATTATATTCCTAGTCAACCTTGCTTGACCACTCCTGGTCTTTAGACCTGAAGGTACTGAGCCTGTGCAGTTTAGGTACAGACCAGTGCAGGAGTTAATTTCAGTCTTCTTTTTTTCTGGGAATCCAAGAGAGCATTCATTCATATTAGAAATTAATCTGAATTGTTGAACCAGAAAATAAGCTATTACAGGAGAAAGTACCACAGGCCTGGTCTTGAGCTACTCTTCTGTTCTTCCTTCTCATGAAATACCTCCAGCCCCTCTATCCAAACCAAAATCTCCAATTATGGATTGGGGCTTTTTATTTTGATTTAACAGGCTGACACACACAGTATTTAATCGAAATCCTTTGCTACCTTTTTAGCCTTGTTCTCATCTCAGCCTGCTTCCCATACAGCTTTTAGGATGGCTTGAAGAAAATAATTATACAAAGTATCCTAAACGTGATTCACAGCATGAAATACAGCATGTGAGAATTATACAGATATATCAGAAACTTAGTGGACAGTGTGCAAGGACCTAGCTCATATTGTTCACTAGGGACACTTACTCACTCCAGTTCTCTGACAAAAGAAAATGAAATTAAAATCCTCTGATAAACTAGCCAATGGAAGTTGAATTTTTGCCCTGTTTGTAAGTGGGATGAGCAGGTAGAATTTGAGACTTTTCAACCATGTAGTAACCCATTGAAACACATTTTCTCTTTGATCTTCAGTGCAAGTGTAATTGTCAGGAACAAATCTCTGGAAGCCATTTTCTTCCTATCTTGATGTTTAGGTGTCATCTTCTTCTGGGTAGTTTCATGGGTTTTTTTGGTTGTTCTGTGTCTTTTCTTAAATTAAGATGACTGTTCACCTTTTTCCTTTTAAATGACTTTTTCTCTCTCCACAATTTCCTAGCTTAAGTCAGAAGCGAGATACAAGCTTAAGTATTTAAGTCATTTTTTCTTATGGGAGGGCGCAAGCTGGTTTGGATGCGTATTTGAAAGGACGCATCCACTAAATCAGCGTCAGTAGTCCAAGGTAGTTCAGTAACTGGGTCCAGCATTTTGCTTTCTTACTTGTTTGGACTCCATCAGGCTGCTTGGAGAGTACTTGTCCTCATCTTGTGGTCTGTTGACAGAGACACAGCAGCTTTGCTGCTACTCGGTGCTATAAGAGGTCATTAGGTAACTAAATCTGTGAATAGGACTGAATAAATGTAAGGTGCTTGTTAACCAACACCGGTTCAACTGAAATGCACCTTGGGTGTTGCTGGTTTTCCTTGCATGAGGGTAGCTCTAACAGATTGTCTCTGTAGTCCGACAGTTTCTGTAGTCTGGCCTCACAGCAAGATCAAAAATTTTCATGGGCTTCCTGTCTGTGCAGTGATGGTATTGTCCTTGGTGTAAGATATGCTTTCTTTAGTTGGCTTTGGGAACTTTCAGTGTCTTGGATAATCCCTCCTTCATTTCTTTATCGTCTTGTGATTATGTTCAGCCTGAATAATTGAAGTACAGAACTCAAGCTGACTGTAGGTTTGGTAAGGCTGGACTCCTGAATTTCAGGCTCTCATTTCAGTGAGAAACTCTCTTCATAATAGAGCTCTGCATTACATTTAGGGTAACTTGTGATGTTAAATTGCACTGTTTTTAATAGGACAATGTAATCTCTTATTGTCAAAAAGGCTAGAACCTTCATACCAAATTTTTAGTAATTGCATTAACTAACTTCAGGAGGATTGCATTTGGTCTCTGTTGTTTAGGCTTTGACTAAACTAAAATGTGTATTTGCTAGTACTTCTGATTCCTAGTCTTGCATAAACATAGTATCTGTTTGAGAAGAGCAGAAACGTGGTTTGCCTGTCCATTGCATCTCATCAAAGTCAAATTGTAAAGTCTAATTTTTGAAAGGAAAACATTTTAATACTGGTAATTACTGTTCTGGTGAAATATTGAGGCTGGAAACAGCTGAATTATCTCAATTAAAATCCTCAGTTAACTTCTGTTAGGGAATAATGTAAAACAACAATAGTAGTACATTACCCTTTACTTTTTGAAGCCACATAATTCTTGCTATCATTGAGTGACAGATATGCGTGGACCAGTTGGAAAATACCGCAAAGGGAAGGCTTTAAAATGTTCAGATTTGCCTTAATGACTTTATAAAAAAAAGTCTACTAAAAATCTTCTGCAATGAACATGACCCTCAGCAATAATGTTTATGGAGGGTAATTAGCGTGCTTGTTAGGGATCATGTTATTGTTCACAATGTAATTAGACTTATAATCTAGTAAATGTGACATACTATAATGTTCTGCTTTGTAAACATTATTGACTCCGTTTTAAGACTGAGATTGCCTCATGCCAACAAATAAAAGAAAATCATAGTCTCATAAAAACTTCTAATTATTTAGATGTGCACTCTATGGGTTCCTGATGCAGTCAAAGTTGAGACTGAACCAAGTTGACTATTGAACACAGGTGCAGGCTTCAGTGCAGGTGATTTGCCAACCTCCTTTTATGTAAACCTCAGCTGTCTGCTTAAGTCTCACTAAGTTTAAGGGGGGAAAGATACAAATCTGAACAGCTTTATAACCTCATTTGCACAGGGTTATTCATATTGTGCTTCTGACTTATTTTTCATGTTTCTAGATAATAAGCAGGCATTAACTTGTTGGTAACCCGATGTAGCGACGTATGTGTCTCAATCAGTTATTCACTCATGGGAGGTAACTGAAAATGGGCTTGGCTGAACGGTTCGTCTTTTAGGGCTAAACTTAATTTTTTATAAATTTTGTAGTATCTTAAATGGACAAGAACTTGGATACTGGATTATTTAAGCAGTAAGCAGAATGGGCCATCACTAAAAATAACTCTTTAATTTCGTATTTACTGTTAAAGACCCTTAATAAAACTGTTGTCTTGGTGTAACTTGTATCATTCATTTTTTCAACTCAAATAATAGAATTATCTGAATCTCTTAGGTTCTGCTCTCCTGACACCTGTCTGCTACAGAAACTCGGAGGATGGCCTGCTTCTCTTTGTTAGTCTATGAGACCATGTCTTGTCTTTGTTAGTCAAAATATCTTACAGTACTGCTAGTAATTTTCTGAAGAGTACAAAGTGCTCTCAGTAATGAGAACAGATTCCAGATAGGAGGCTTTTTTGATAAACTTTGCTTTTATTGCAGTAGCTATTAGGTGCTGTTTCTGTTGTCAGCCACTGTACAAGCAGAGCAGCAGACAGGTGCTAGTAGAGCAGCTCTCGTCTAAGTAACCTGTGCTAATTGCAGTCTCTCACTGTGAAAACTTTTCTGCAGCTGTGCCAGCAAACATCGCAGACCTGAGAAACATAGAAGTGCTCAATTTTTTCAACAACCAGATTGAAGAGCTGCCGACACAGATCAGCAGCCTTCAGAAGCTCAAACACCTGAATCTTGGGTGCGTATCTTAATGCAAAACTTTACTGTAATAGAGGTACTGTCAAATATTGTCATAGCTGAACCTGGAACTTCTTATTTTTTGCTGCTAAAGATTCTTTTTGAAAGTGCTTGTGATGGTAACTTGGCAATTATGGTTTCAGAGTGTTTAGCTACTTTCCTGGATAATCAGATACTTAGAAGTGATGAAGCACTTACTCTGGTATATAAATAACTATTTAAGGGCAACAGCAACTTGCATTCATCTAATACTGAAGTCAAACTTAACAATTATTGAATTTTAATTCTCTAGCAACTGTTTCTTAATTCTGTAAATGAGCCAAGCTCTATTTCCTGTTTGTTAAATAAAAACCCCCAACCAAACAGAAAACAAACAAACACAACAAAAGACCCCACAAAACAAACAAACAAAACCCATACCCAACCAACCAGCCGAACAAAAACCCCAAACAAAACAAAGAAACCAAATGCTAATTTTTCCAGGTTAATTTAGGACTTTAATTCCAAAGTCCTAAATTTGGGATTAAAGAAATTTCAATTTCTGCTAAACCTGTAAAAGACATAGCAAATCCTTAAATGTGGTGTGCATTTAATTGAAAGAACAGGTATTGACTGAATTTGAGCCAGAGGCATTCCTGTTAAGTGTTCAGATACTATATTCCAGTACAGTTGGTGATATTTCATAATAACTACAGTTGCCAAAGTCTTCCTCGAATTAAGAAAATTGATGTGAAACACAGAACCTTCTTAAAACTAACTGGGCATATTGAAGTGTAGCTACGTAAAGCATTGGTGTTAGGGGTGAGCTTTAGCTCTATAGGCTTCTGAAAGAATGTTTGTATTTTGTAAATTCAAACTTCTGAACACCTTAAACTGAGGATTTTTCTATTTTAAATAAATTATTTATCCTGCTTTAGAAACTTCTGTAAAGCGCTGATAATTGGATTGCATCTTGAACTGTTGGAATGCCAATAAATGTTTTTATGATGATCTGTCTTCTCTGGTCTTTATTTGGTTACTTTAGATCTCTGGCATGCCTTAATATCTGTTTAAACCTGCAATTGCTTTTCAGAGCAAATATTATTTCACGATCAGCATATCTTGAGGATTACACTGATATTTTTTGGATTGGGATACAGAAGTGCTGCAGCGTATGGAGAGAGGAAGAAGTTGGGCTCTTTCCATGAATTAAAGCAGGGACAGGTGTTTAGTTTGAATACTCATCTTCATTAATGGAAAAAAAATGTAGTATAAGAGTCCATTTAGAGTTAAGACTTGGAACCACAGTTCTCACCTTCATGTGTTGTGGGGCCCAAGATCTTGATTGGAATCAGTGAAGAGGAAACTGTTCTGCCCTAGTAGTTTGGGGGCATGAACATGCCTATCTTCTCTGTTACACTTTCAAACCCAGGTGACAACTGAAGCAAGATCCGTAGTGCAAGCTTTGTTTGGTGTACATGCAATAGGAACGGTATAAATAACAAGCTGGTGGTTCTTTTCTATTCATATGATAAGCAGCCAGAGCTATAGCTGCTACAGTAAGGTTCTATGAATATAGCCTCTGGCTCCTTGCCTCACTTCATCATTGCAGCAGCTCTAGTAATTATCTGGATCACCTTGTTCAAGCCCTTTGAGGTCAGGGAGAAATTACTGTTTTCTGTAGCTTGTCTGCTCTGGGTTATCAGAGAAACCTTTTCCTTCTCTTAGCTTTCCCCATGTGCTTCTGGGTGCTGCCAGGGGTAACTGCTATCCCAAACCCCCTTAAGACTGGCTGAACGAGCTATATTTAGACTGAGCTTCATTGGTCAAAGCACTGACATTTTATTGACTTCATGCTCCATGGGCATCAATAGTTGTCTAGTGACACAAATTTGCTGTATTGCTGAACATAAATACCGTGCAGCTGAGGTATTCCTCTTCGTATTTGGTGCCATGGTGAAGAACTACATGGTGCAGACTAATGGCAGATGGTTAAGATGAGGTGCAAAAGTGTAATTTGCAGTTTAGCTAGAAGATATGTCACCTACTGAGGACTTGGTTTCTCCATGGCACACTGTTTAGGCTGCACATAGCACTGTGGCACCTCCTTTTCCTTGTGCTTTGTGCTTCAGGTGTGGCTGTTGATTGACATAACAGACAAGATCACATGTGAGTGCGTAAGTTTTGGGCAATTTATGGGAGTGACAGATAAATGGTCTGCATTGCAGAAGGCTTGCTCAGTGTTGTGCAGCATCAAGCACTTTTCAAAACATAAGGATAGTTTTACATTGTTTTTAGAAGTTAATCTCTTGTTGCCTGTGTTATTCCTACCAGATTAAATGAATACTGATGTCACGTTCTGTTTTTTCCTCTTAACCTGCAGCATGAACAGGTTAAACACCTTGCCAAGGGGATTTGGCTCTTTACCAGCTCTGGAGGTTCTCGACTTGACTTATAACAACTTAAATGAAAAGTCCCTACCAGGAAACTTCTTCTATCTGAGTAAGAAACTTTTCTAAAAGCTCTACAAATCTTCATGATATGGTGCTTTGCTTTCTGCAGTTGAAATTTATTTGATGGAGACCAAACTCCAACAGAACTTTTTCTGATGTATATGCTTTTCTTTGAATACCTCTTGAATATTTCTACATAGCTCAACAGTATTTACCACAGATATACAGTCACCTGGCACCATTGGATACAAGGAGACTTGGTTAGTAATGGTATATTAGTTTTATTCTGAGTAATATTTCCTTGGGTTCCATACTCAGTTAAAACTTAAAAACTTTGTGAAAGCTTGCAAGCCTCAGGGGAAAGTAAACTGTTTCCTAAGGTAGCTGTCATATGTTGACTCTGGAAACAGTTGTGTTCCTGATGGTTCATTACTGGAAAAGTGTTAACAGCGCGCAGATGTTCAAGTGGCCACTATGTTAAAAAAAAATGCTGAAGTTGCAAAGCTTGACACAGGAATTGTAGACCTAAGCTGACCTTTGCAGATGTTAAAAATACATGCTTAGAGAGTTAAAATAAAAGTACTATAATGCATATGTGCAAAAGGGATGCGTTATGGTTGCCGAAGCAACTTGAATTCTGGCACTTTCTGAATTCCAGTGATTCTGCTGCCTTAGTGGGATCACTTCAGGATCAGTGCATTTAGCAGCAAAAGTGATAGGCGAGGGGAGAGGAAGGAGTGCTGCTGTCTGAGAGATTTTGTGATTGTAATTGGCAGAGGGAGACTTTTAAGTCAGCATTCTTAAAAATAGTCACATGTGATGAAATGAAAAGAGGAGGAGTGAACTGTGTGAGACAAATGGAATCTCCTCTCTGGTGGGGAGGAGAGGTTTTGCTGACCTGACCACTGTCCTTCCTGCTGCACCCAACAGTTCTTTGTGAGTCACCATTTTAATTTTTTTTTTTTTTTTCGAACTGTCACATACGCTCATTCAGTAATAGCAAGCTGCATGGTTGTGCTGGATCATCTCTTGTTCTGGGAATTTCTTAGAGACTAAGCATGGAAATTACAAATTATACAATTTGAGTCTTCTGTATTTCTCTCTTTTAAAGTCTTTCCCAGTGTCAGGCTGTGCTTTCTATAGAGCTTAATATAGACATGTATTTTTCCAAAAAACCTCAGATGACTTTTTTTTAATATTTATTTAGTATGCAAATTGATGTAATGCATAAGAATCAAGGGTAGTAAAGAGTTCTTAGTCTCAGTACACAGCTGCCAGAATATACTATATGCCAGAACCTGCCAGAGTACACTATTGTAGAAACTGTTAATTGTGCCAGTCCCTTTGAATATAGATGTGTTTCTGAACTCACCAACAATACAATAAGCCAGTAAATCTGAGTTTGACCTGCTTGTTATTATTGTGAGCCCTGGGTATGTCAAAGGCTTTTCACCAAGTCAGGGTTATTAATCAAACCTGACTCTCTCTTATTGATTAGACCTCAAATGGTTGGGTTATATGCCACCTTGTTTATATATCGCTATTTCATTTGCAGCCACCCTGCGTGCACTCTATCTAAGTGACAACGATTTTGAAATCCTGCCGCCAGATATTGGGAAGCTCACAAAGTTGCAGATAGTAAGTAATTTATCTAAATTCTTGGAAAATCGATTCACTTTTGCAACACTTGTAGGAATAGAATCCAGTCAATTTGAGGAGTAGTAGGGTATGTTTGCAGGAATGGACCACTACACCTGGAACTGTTTCTTGTTTACCAGCAGACACTTGTAAATAAATTGGAAGAATTGAGCGTTTAGGAGAAAGGTGCAGGCAGAGGGAGCAGAGTTCTGTTTTAGGCTGCTTTATGGTAACCAAAAGTTGTTCTGACTACTTTCTGTTCACTCTTAGCTGAGTCTTAGAGACAATGACCTGATATCACTGCCTAAAGAAATTGGGGAGCTCACTCAGCTTAAGGAACTTCACATCCAGGGAAATCGTCTCACTGTGCTGCCCCCAGAACTAGGTAAGATTATGGATGATCGTTTATTTATTCAAATAATAATGATAATGATAATGATAAACTGTGTTTCCTCTGAAACAAAACCAGTTGTTTAACTCTAGGAAGTTATGATGCTTAAGTCATCATTGCTGCTAATATTTATTTTCATCTGAGAAACACTTTTTCACTCCTACTGCATATGCAAGAGAGGCCAGAATATGCTGTGTGTTCAGTTTTATTTTTTTTTTATGTTACGTTTTCCTTGTGTATTGTGCCAATTTGTATATAGCATCTTGCTTTATACAACATATTGTAAATATTGGGTCTGCAAAGCTATTCTTGTCTCTGGCTGGGTTTTGTGAACACTATTTGGATCAGCCAAAATTATATTAAGCAAAAAATCACAGCAGTATAAGTGGCTTTTTGTGACTGTTCCTGTAAAAATTGAAGTTTGATCAACTAGAGTAAAATATAGCTAGATTAGAGGAATGTCTTTATTTTTCTGTTTCAGTAGTCTACCTTTCTTAATGAGTTGACAGCTCTTTCACTTAGAGCAGTGAAGCTGGTTGATGTACTTTGAATTTGTGATATTGGCTGTTTAAATACAATTATAAGGGGCTCCTTTCAACATACAGAGTTTTTCTTTGAAACTTAAGTATTGATTTCGTTGAATTTGTATTGCAGTGTTCAATTTTATTTGAGGGGCATTAACTTCAGTAGAAGTTGTGCTTGCTTGTCCCAAGCCGGAATTTGTTTTCAGATCTTTTACGACAATCTTTAAAAATATTTTTGTTGAGAATAACATTGCTTCACCAATTAACCTGTTGTTGAAAACCTGTTACACAGAGCTTATTCCTTGTTTCTTATTATTGTGGACTTTTATATAGGGAAGCTTCTTTGGTTCTACTGGTACCTTCCAAATAATAGTTCCTAGGACTCAGAAAGATACTGACTGAAGTTAGCATGATAAAGCTAAATTATTTGTTGTCATAAGAACTTGCTTTGATCCATTAGAGAATGTGGCAGCTGTGCGCATCAATGTGACAGTCTGCAGTGTATGCTTTTTGTATTATACAGCAAAGGAAAGTGTCTGGGTTTTTTTCTGTGAGGTGAGGGAAGATGTTTGTTTTGACTCTTATTTGTTTACCCATCATGGGTTTTTTGCCTTTATTACTCTAGCAGACTATATGAAACTGAGTGTTGTTATTGGTTTTTTTTCTCACCACTGCTAGATGAAAGTTGCTCTCTTTTCCTTAATTTCAGATGTTTATTCCTTAACACAGGTATACTTTATTTAGCTTTTTGTCAGTCGTATTTATTTATAAAGTCTCTTAAAACAGCAATAATGTTTTAGAAGCATGTAGTATCTGTAAGTGTACTTTTCTGTAGCTTCCTAAATTATAGCCTTCTTGTTTTCCAGAAAGTGGAAGTTAAATGCTGCACTGAGTCTAACCACCTTCTGTGACTAATTAAATGTTCTAAACATGCTGCTGCCTTACAAGCATAACAGCAAATTCACTTCAATTGGTTTTACCATCATTGTCCAAACCGAATGGAAACATTTGAAACAAAATTCTTGTTTGCTTTACGCTGACCTGCAAAACTCAGGATGGCCAAAGGAAGCATTTTTCCTTTTAGTTGACATTTGTTTGCAATATAGAACAATACCATCTGGTAGAAAAAGGACTTGTAATTTTGCCCCACCTGATCAGGATGAGGTGCATTGACGCAGCTTAAGTGCTTGTCATCTCCATGCTTTATTATTCAACTTCTGTTCTATAAATTGGCTTTTCCTCTTCATGTATTAATTTACCCATGTTTCATGTTATGGTCTTAACGAAGATTCTTGTTCATGATCAGTTGGTGTAATTTCTGTTGCAGTCTGTGCCATGCATACTGCTAGAACTATATAAAATATTTAAAGAGGCTTAGATTTTGGAGTATATTCCAGAGAACATCGCACTGAAGTCTAGATTTGTAACTTGTGCAAGTTGCAAGCGTATTTACTCTGCAAAGCAATGTTCTCGCTTATTTATTAACCATCTAGGCAATCCATTTAGGGAATGGATTTTGGTAAATGGAGCACCAGGCTGGGCTTTGGATGGCTTGTTTGAGACCGGGTAAGAGCAGGCCACAGGCAAGTGTGAATCTACTGAATGACTAGAGAAAGTCACTTCATCTCTGCAGCCTTGTTTTCCTTTCTGCAAACTAGGGTAATTTAGAGAAGCAGGCCCCTCTGCAGCCAGTTTTAAAGTCGGCCAAGGAATGGTGGTCTGCGAATGTTACACCCTATGAGTAGACTGCTAAATACATAGTGGCCATCTGAGAGAAAAACAGTTTTATCTGCTGCCTCAGTTCTCCCTCCTAAATTTTTAAAATGGAATTATAATGTAAGAAGAACTATCCAAATACTTTGTGCTGTGCATGTTGGATAAATAGCTTTTCAATGAGCGGGTCTATTTGCATTAATTGAAGGTACGACTGTTCCATTTAAAGTAAACAATCTTTCCTCTCTCATTATCACTTTCATAATTAAAGGTGCTGAAGGCTTTGTACTGGCTTACTCTGGACACTGATGGACAGCAATGAGGCACTGGATGTTCATTTATCAGAGAGATGGGCGCAATATAAACACCAGAATTAAACAGTGTATTTGAATGAGGAGAGGTGAGGCGGGGGGAGTACATTCAACTGTTTTTTTTGAAGGTAATGGAAATACGTGCAGAAGAAGGCATGGAGAGTAGGGTATGAGAAAAGGCCACAGACAGGGACTGGGATCACAGTTCTGGAGTGGAGAGAGATCCCAATAAATAAAACCTACACTCTGCTCTGAACTTCACCTGATGTGATTGAGCATGGCATGTCTCAGTGAGAGGACTGGGGGAGATCAGTATCGTCCTCCTCTGTGTTCAGCAGAGAATACCTATGGCTAATTTAAGAGAAACATTCCTGCCCAGGAGGAAATGAGGGGAGGAGAGGAGTGCACTGGTGCTCTGGGTGAGGGTGCTTGTCTGTAAATACAGTACATGTGAGTGATGAACGCAGGGAATGGACGGAGTAGGTGGGTGGAATTTGCAGCTTGTTTTTATCATTTGTCTCTCAGAACCCCGGTCATGAGGAATGGTGGTATGCAGTCATATATAAACTTTAAAGAGGCGCTGGCATTTTTTTCCCCTAGCATTTAAAAGGTTATGTGCTGCGTTGAGAGACAAATAAATCATGATTCACTGCAACAACAGAGTTGCAGTCAGTTATATAAATTGCCAAGGAAGCACTAAATCTGTCACTTTGTGTATTCTGACCATTTAACAATTGGAGTTGCGTTTGGAAAGAAAGCTGAGGACAAACAAGAACCACATAGGGTGGCAGGTGCAATTAGTAAGATCAATGATGGTGTTTTAAGTTCATTGTATCGTCATCTGGGTGGACCCATATGTGCCACATAAAAGACTTAGCAGAGTCAGGAGTGCAATAGTATATGGTGCAGCATGTTTATGAAATTGAAGCTAAATGTAAATGGCCACCCAGAGAAGGTAACTAGCTTATCCATAGGTTTGCATTTTCGATGTGAAAACAAATAGCATGATTTTTAAAACCCAGATTCTAATGTTGACTCTGTTCGTTACCCTGCTGCCAACACACATGTATGCGCACACATACACAAAGTTCATTCATGTTTATGCATGTGGGAAGAACAGCAATTTCTCTGGGTGCATTTTTAATTACAATCCTCTTTTTCCAAAACCGAATGTTGGCATCAATGGCTTTTAAGTGCATTATTCAATACTGTTCTAGTTTATCAAATTTCCCTAGGTAAAGGGAGCCACTATAAAAACTGTGAAGTTAGGTACATACTTGAAAAGTGGAAAGTTTGAACTACTTAAAAAAGAAAAATAACTTGATAGGGTAAGTAGCCACGTTCCTTTTTAAGGAGGGTAAAACATTTTGTAAATTCAATCTGTGTGTGAGAATGGCTAAGTAATTCTTTCATAATTTTTTAGTTTTGAACAGCTAAATTATCTTCGGTGGATAAAGTTGGCTTTAAATAGAAAGTTTGAGGAATCCTACCAGAAGTCTCAGTATTTCCATCACAGGAAGACATTTTAAAATTGAGGTTTTTTAAATGACTCTACAATTTGTGAATGAATATTATATTGCACAAAGTAGTTGCTGCAGTTATTTGTTCAAGTTAATATTAATCGAAATGCAGTTTACTTAGGTAATTATAACAGACATGTGCAAACATAGGAATCACTTATTTCACAAAAGATATTTCTTTTCTAAATATACTTGATGTAAATGCCAAACTTGTCTTATTTCAGTATAAACTGTCGCTGCATTCTACCTGTGTCACAACACAACGCTGCTCTAAATCAAATAACCTGTTTCTACTTTTGGAATGAAGACAAAGGTGGTGTAAAATAGTAAGGAGCTTTACTAAACTTTCCAGTGGATAAATAAAATAATTTGTTTTCTAGGAATACTGATGTAGCAGCTACAAGTTAAGGAATTATAGAAAAGTGGACATAACAGCTTAGGTCATGGACAGATTATTTGTGTAAGAAAAGCATGTCTGAAAATTTGTGAACATACTAATTGTGTTTCTCATTTTAGGCTTATTTTAAGTTAAAAACAAACAAAAAAACCCCCACCAAAACTAACACCAAACTTCACCATTTTTTATGTAGTTAGAAACCAGGCTGATTTCACAGAGTACCTGATGGAGTTAAGATGTATGGGAAGAAATGGCAACTCTGCAGTTTCATTATAC